CTAAACAATTATTTCTTTTAGTTACAACCTTTGTTCTGCTTGATGTAGTTTGCTAAGGCTTGTAAAATTTTGTACGTGGAGGATTTGAAACAAAATAATTTTTTAACTTTTATATATACAGTTGACTAACCAACAAAAAGCATAAATTATTATATCAATACCATAGAATCCCACTGTAATTTATCAAGCTTAATAACTAAGCTGTATTTCAGTCTAAAAAAATATGAAATTTTGAGCAGACTAAATTCACACCCTACCACATTGAAATATTGGTTCAAAAGAAAGAAATGGCATCCAAGCCCATTAAAATGACTGAAAAAGCCACTATGGGGACATTCTGAGCTTTCCATTGGTTATTCATGTCATATATAGAAGTAATTGTATATAAGGAAGCATTTCCAAAAATGGAAAGAGGTGGGTGGGGTGCCACTGTGTTTGATTTATTATGTGAGCAATATCTTAGCAAATAGAAAAGATAAGATGTTCTTATTTTGTATTCTAGCTTGTCACTATTGGTAATTTGAGTTTCTAATTCATACGAAACTATAGACTTAGTATTTTGACATCACAAACATCTGATTTGAACCAGTGCTGCATTCAACATACCATGTGACAAACAAAAATTTATGTTTAACTGTTTATTTTATATCTAATTTTAAGTTAAGACTTTGAGTAAGATATAATACTAAAAATTTGAATTATAGTCTGCAGTTTGATACCAATCTTATTGACATAAATTCATGAAATAGTAAGTAGTTCAATAAAATTTTTAATGCAAGTCAACAAATGCGATGACATGGCCTTTCACCCGTGACCCATCTGGAAAGGGTTTTTGTTCTTTTAATTATGATATAATTTTCAAATTCTTCTTTGCCTTACTTTTAAAATTTTTCACTTACAAAAATTATAATCATGGAAAATATTTCACATTAATACACTTAAAAATAATAAGATAAAAAACATTTACAAGTTTATTCTCAAAAGATAGAGACATTTTTATTGGTAATTTTTTGAACAAAAATAAGCACCTGTTGTTCATGAATGTAAACAATTTAAGTCTACAACTTCTGTTACAGTTTTGTTTCTATTTTATTTAAAAAATAAGGTTTTTGGTAAAAAAAAGGATCTTAGAATTTCTCTCAAAAACTCTGATGTATGAATACTTGAACGTAATTTTTAAACCATTAAGATGGGGTAAACCAGTGAAGGAAAACTAACAAAAAAACTAGAAAGTGTATTAAAGTTCCTAAAATTAAAGTATTTTAATAGAATAGGTTATCTTGGAAGTAATGTTTGTGTCATTTTGATTTATAAGTATAAAGTACTTATGGTAAAGTCACTACTGCTAAACCTAAATTGTTTTTCTTCACAATGTCTTTAATTTTGTCTGACCTTCATATTCTAGGCATTAGACTCTGATTGTGTTAACAACTCTTCATTGAGATTTTTGATTTCAGATTTATTGGATTATAAATTACTAATGTAAAAGTACAAATAATTTTGCCCAATTTACAAACGTTTAACTTCCATTAACTTTCTCTAGAAAATTTTTGTTAATGGTATACTTTGTTTTTTTTCAAATTATTTTCATCTCAAATAGTCAGGAAATAGTTTCAATAAACTCATCTTCTTTACTATCCTATCATTAGTTGTTATTTCATTTTTTATTGTATGTTTTCTTAAATGAATTTTTTTATAGATGTTACTGTTTTAGATCTTTTTCCCCACTCCTTTATATTGCTGCAGTAAAAATACTTGGCATCATCAGGTACAGTGACTATAATGAGTGAACTTGTTATCTAGATAACAATGAAAACGAGCAGATGGATACATTGGTATTTAATTGGTTGAGCTTAAAAACATATGCAGAACATAAAAAATACAGATGTTGATAATGGTCAAGCATTTAATGCTATTTTGTCACATATGAGGAATCTTTATCATCAGGGCTTGATTTTAAGGAAATTTCCAGGTTGTTCAGAAGGCTGTATTAGTTGTCCAAAAAATAATACATAGATCCTCAAAAATTATCCAATTACAACAATATTGATGTATAAATATCCTAAAAAAATAAAATTATTTACAAGAAGTTTGATGTTTGTATATCTTATTTACTTCCAAAAAGTAGAATTAATATTTAGTTGGAAATTTTGCATCTTTATTCAACTAATTTTTGCTGCATTATTTCTTGGAATCTTTCATTACATTGCAAAGAATAAGTCCAAACCATGCTAATGTTACATAGTACCTTAAGGAAACAAACAGTTAAGGATCTGTAAAACTTTTAAACAGAACATTGATCTCTGCCAATCGTGTTCAATGTTTTCATTCTAATCAGCTTGGCCCACCTGCCAAGTACAGTAAAGTACAGCCTGTAGTAAGACTAGACGTGAATCAGAACTCTCACACATACTACTGTACAGTAATATGTACACAATGCCTGAGCACTGCACATGTACACATACACTGCTGATATGTATTGTCATTCATACTCAGAACTTGTATTGACCTGGAGAGAGACAAAGCTAGCTTTTTTATTTATTTATTGTTATTCTGTTTCATACTGATCAAAAGTTCCATAAAATTGTGTTTGCAGTTATCATTATTATGTTCTGTTTA